CGAAAGAGGAGAGATTAAGGACCAAATTGGGCTTGCTGTTGGTTGGTATGGTTGTTACTAACAGCGCATGTGATGACACTTTCTGGTGGTCGATCCATACACACGATTTTGACAGGAAAAGAAGACAGAAGTCTATCAATTTTCCCTAGAACTAAATATAAAACCATATCCGAAAACATAACCCACCTACTTTCAAACATTTGTCAGGAGAAACCGACATACACAGACACTGTCATCCACAACTCTTCACAGAGCATCCCTATTCCACATAAACATTGCCGCTTCCACTCCATGATACAACAAGATTCTGAGGCCTTCCCCCTGAACTAAAATCTTCATTTTCTGGAAGAACTGCGCACCAATCAGACACATTGCCTATGTCTAACGGGTTACAGTACAGAACTCTTAACGAACCATACTACGCCGCCAAAATAGTCAAACAAAAAAATGTACAGCTACAACTTGCTCTATAAAGACAAACACCGGACTAAGTACACTTGGCTTCCCTTATTTTGGACCCCTTTCAGAAAACGTTCGCACACAAATATTCACAAAGCAGGTTAAAAGTTTCATTCAAATACAGGAATTCCCTCAAAAAAATGCTGGTCCGCAAAAAACACACAGATCTTCTAGAAAAAGCGGCGTCTATTCTCTAAATTGCCAGACTGCGAAGCCAATATATTGGTCAAAAAGGCAGACCTTTCAATATCCAGAATCAAAGGGAACACATACATGCTTGGACAACACAACACTGTAAATCTCACTTTGCCAATCATTTACTCCAGACAGGCCATAATTCATCCACACACAGAGCAATTCGTATACTGGATAGAAAACGTCACTACCACACCAGACTATAACTTTAGAAAAGCTTACACATTCAATTTAAATAATAACTTATTAAATGAACATAAACAACAGGTCCCCTTCTCTCTTTACTAAAATTACTACTAGACACCACTCCACACCACACCCCTGCGGCTGCACGGTGACAGCGCAACCGCACCTCAGGCCATGCCGCTCCTCCACCCACGGCCGGTACTAAGCCCTCGACTCGCTCGACCCCCGCGTAGTCGTTTGTGGCTTCCAGTCTAGCAGGTAAGGAACGGGCTTCAACTTACATTTCTAGTTTTCTGTATAAAAATACATTTTTATGTGTCCTAGTTTCTATTTTCATTCGCTTTTTCTTTAGGTATTAATGGCTTAACCCCCCCACTTTTTCTTTCCTCCCGTTTGTTCTAAATATATTTCCAAAAATTTGTAATTATTGTAACTTTAATCATCATCTTTGTTGTTAATTCAGCGTTTAATCGTTTTTTTGTTTTTTGTGTTTTCTTGTACCAGCAACTGATGATGATGGCTAGCCATCTAAGCCATCGAAAGCTGCTTTTGAATTAAAAAACATTGTTGGCAATGACAACATCTTTAATTATACTAGTGCTAGCTGTCTCGGACCAAAATTTAATTGGCTCTCCGGGCGACGCTGCCTGACGACCCGGACATCCAATTAAATACTGACTCCAGCTGCAGAAGCCTTCGCCCTCGGACCAGAAGTTCGCGGGTTCGAGTCACGTCTCGGGCATGGGTGTATTTGTATGTGTGTTGTCCTCTCACTATCATTTCATCTTATTTACCCCCAGGGTCGATAACCCTGGGGAATAAAAATCGGATTCAGCTAAATGCTGATCCCCTAACAGAAGTTGCATGCACCTGCCACCAAGATAATGTGTCTAAGCCACGGTAAATGCAGGGTACATGCACGCGTGGTCAAAGTCGGCCTATTTGCGTGCAAAAAAAATGGTTCTTCAAATTCCCTCAACTTTGTGTTAAAGTCCGTTCAAATTAAATAACGATTTATTTCCAAAATTTCGGTAACACCCTCCTCAAATCTATGATCTTAGTTCACGGTAGTGAGTTTTCCGTGGTAAAACTGGGGACACCTCCCCTCCCTTCTTTACTGTCTCGTGTTAAACGAAACTAAATTAATTAATTATCGAAAGTGAAGTTGCCCAGCGTAAAAGAAATCACGAATACTATTACTAGTTTTCAAGACGTAGGAACGTACTTGTTCCTAAGTTTCTTTAATTATTATAAATTTTAATATCTAACCCAAATAAAATGTATTTTTTAAAGTAATTTATACTGAATTTTATACAAACAGGCGCGGGGGTTTGACGCCAACTATATATAATTATTTAGAAGTGTTAAAGCTCGCGTTTCCGGTCTGTTACACGGGGGAGGAAGGATAGGCTTTCCGAAATATTCAAAAGTTGCGTTACGTAATTTACCCCTTAAAGAAACCAAATAAACAGAAAAAAATTGGGGAGGGGGGAGTTATATAAAACAAAACCCATGTTTCCGCTTTTTTTTCTGGTGACTATCATCAACCCCATACAGCGATTTTTTCAAGAAAAATAGTTACACAAACATTTATCCAAATTGTTCGCTCCCCAAAATGTTTCCTTATTACATGAATCTATATTAAGAAAATGATGTGACTGCCTGTGATTTCAAATTAATTGTATACACTCATGAGGATATAAATGAATAACAGTATCAAAATCTTTTCAATTTCTGTTACTTTAGCTGCTCCTGAGATAACTATGGCCAAACACGTGGACATAAATTGTAAAAATAATTGAATGAGTTGTCATATTGTGTAAATAAGTATTTGGGATTATAAAATGTCAGTAATTTTCAATACAGAACCTTCAATTTTATTTGTATTAATTTCCTTCATTACCTTTCAGAGGTCACATCCTCTGCCAAAAGACTGAATGATAAATTTGGCTTTTCTACTTGCTTTCATGATCAGTATGGCAGGGCATTTTGGTAAGGTACAAATGATACTCTATTCTTATTATTTTGTTACATTAATAATGTAATATCAACAATAACATGTTCCAGCTACATTGTGAATATTTGGCATCTTGCAAAATGAAAGGTTTTTGAAAGAATCATCTTGTTGTCTTAGTTTTTAAAATATAATTATTTTGTTCAATTCCAAATTTTAACAAAAACTTCACAAGATAAATAGTATATTGTTGTCAATTTTATAATGATCTTTCATTGTATGTTTTTTAAACTTCATTGTGTACTTTTAAAAATAAAATATTTTAATAACTAATGCATTAAATGATTTACAATGTGAAAATTATTATGCAATCACATTTTAATTACTAGAATTTCAAGTGTTAGAAATAATTTGCTATGTGAAACGTGTTATTTCAAAGATGAGTTTCAAAGCATATGTTACCAAACCTATCTAATAAGAAAGCTAGTAAATATTAGGCAATGTTAAGACTAAGTTAAAATATGAAAAATACAGAGACTTCATGTACTTAGTATACAGGTGATGTAGTTCTTGTAATGACAAACCTCAAATATTCAACCAAATTTTTTGTTTTGAAATGGAAGGTCATACAGGGGCCAAAATAGGTCAGCAAAAGAGTGCAAATTCAGTGAATTTAATGAACAATATGTGTCTTGTCAGCCTGTGATTCAGTTTCTAATTGTACTTTGCAATGAGTTTCATTTCCAAGTGTGAAACAAGTAACTCCTTAATGGTACCTTGAAATGAAATTCTAGATATTACACTATTAAGAAATTTTATTCTAAGTTTTTCATTTACAAGATAATATGAAAATACAAAATATAATAATCATTTTCATAACTAATATCAAGAAAAAAATAGAAATCATAATATGAACTTGTTGTCAACAGCATGCTTCACATTAAGTGCTAAGCGCATCCTTCCTTCTTTACTTTCAATTGGTTTTAAAGCCCAAATTTCTGTCAATGGAATTTCTTCTTCACCACTCATAGACTCTACATCAGGTGTTTGGTCTGCATCAAGTATAGATAAAGGAACTGACTCCAGAGACATTCCCAATCCAAATGCAAAATAAGAAAGAATTTCTTTCTGAAATTCTTTAAATGGAAACAAAATTTCTGCAGGTGATCCAAGATCAGTAACAAAGTCAATTAAACTCTTGTAGTATGCTTTCAATATATCATCAAATTGATTGAACAAAACATTCTCAGAAGCACAAGAATACAGAAAAAATGAAATATCAAGAACGGGTGAACTGTATCGGGCTAATTGATAATCAATCATGCATATTCCTTCAACTTTCCCATTCTCATTTTCAGCAGAACAACGCACTAAGAAATTGGGAGCCCATGCATCACCATGAGAAATAACAGCATATGGTTCTTTTGGTTTGACATATTCACACATTCTATCAAAGCATGAATTATCAGCAAATCTTCTAAGTTTTTCTTCGTACACTTTCTCTTGAAGTTCTTTAGTAACTGCATCAATAGCAATGTCAGTGAATAACTGCAACTGGTTTATGTACCATGCTTTAGTTGCAGGTTTGTAATAAGTTTCCTAAAACATAGAAATTGTACTTTAAAATTATTTTCTGAAGCAAATCTCGAGAAATTAAAGCAGTGTTGTTCTACTCACAAATAAGCTAGACACAGCCTCTTTGAAAGCTCCTGGTTCTTTCTCTTTCATAGCCATGGATAAAGCATGAAATCTTCCCAACACATTCATAAGAATTTCACATTGTTCATAGTTCAGCCCATCCTGCCGGTTTGTAGTTTTATAATTTTTATATGATACATCTTCCATTACAACAATATCATTTTCGCCATCAGCCAAAGCAAAATAACATCTGATAACAATGCATGGATATCAAAACTCAAATAGCACAAACATTTTTCTTTAATGCAAGTGGTACAAACAAAAAGCACAAACCTTGGAAATTCTACAAAAGGGTGTTTGGGTTTTTGTTTATTTTGGAATTCTATGAATACTGGAACAACCTAAAAAAATTGAAACAAATCTTACAAATCAATTTTTAATATCTTCTATTTTATTAAACATATAATAACCAAAGACGTAATAAATTCAATATGATTATGATTCAGTGTGGCAACAATTATTATGCACATACCTTATTATAAAATGCTACTTCATTACGAAAAAATTCAAGTGATCTAAAAGTTTTTCTTCTTGCAGCACTTGCAGGGAGACATTTTACAATTAGATGTAACACTAATTTCTTCTCATCTCTGGAAGATTTTCCTTCCACTTCAATTCTATAAACAGTACTCAAATAACTTTCTCCTTTTGATGCACCTGTTAAAATTTTATATTGCACAAATTCTGCATCAGGTCCAAATTCTTCACGTAGAAACTCTTTCAAAGAATCTGAGGTTAATTTTGAAGAAATGTCACTCAATAGTACATTTTCGCACACACAAAACATTTTTATTGGGTACAAAACTGTCTTCCCTGAACTGTCACCAGCTCGATGTGAACAGATTTGACATCAGGACAACTTCCAGACAGCAAGGACACATGTGAGGTTACATTATGTAGAGTGCTGATAAGATCTCAAGATAGTGCATCCCACACACAAGCTAACGTGATTCAACGATGTAAGAGAAGTACATGAAAACAAATTAATCATGAATTATATCGCTGCATTATCGCCGCAACTCTTGACACTTCCAGGGACTGACACACGAGATCGACCGGCGACGTTTGGCCACGTCAGTATTCACAACTGATATACAGAATGTGCCAAAAACTAAATAAATACTACACTGTTCTAATTAACGAATTTCACAGGATCAATGTTTCATCAGTTTGTTAATGAAAGAGCTTTACAAGGACTTTTATGACAATTAACATTACGTATTAGTAACGTACGGCAAGTAATTTAATTTATCGAATTATTACATATATACAAATAATATTATTTGTTTCTGGAAAAGAGCTCTTTAATTTTTTACTGTGTTTTTGACCTTTTAGATTGTTCTCTAAAACAACCTTTCATATTTTCTCTGGAATTGCCAGACACGGCAGACATCAATATCAAGATTATTGATGTGTTGAGTGCATAAATGATTTCACTTGCATCGCAATTTTGTACGGCCGTTCAAAAACAGGCTACGACACCGGTACGTACATAATCAACCACGTTTTAAAAAAGGTACGGGCCCGGAGTATTTGGATACGGGAATTGCGGGAAATTCAAACCTGATTCTAGCGGGGAATCCAGGAATCCCGTCCGCAGCACCGAGGCGATTGTCAGATGATCTGCACATGTCATTCGGTGCATCACCGCAAACTGTCGAGAAGTTGACTGCTTGTTGTAAGAAAAATATGTTGGATATAAAGGATGGACCCAGCCTAGGCACGAATCTATAAATAATTTATTTTTAAAAATTACTATTCATTCTTAACTTAAGTCTTCTTACACTACCATCTATAAAATTATTTAGCATTCCATGATATTGTATTTAATACGAGAATTAAATTTTAATTTATGTCTTCTATTTAATTTTTAGAAATATTTGTATTGTTTTGTATGATTATATACATATCCTGACTTGTCATACATGACATATGCTGTATTCATGTGACAAATATATAATAATAATAATAATAATAATAATAATAATAATAATAATAATAATAATGATTATTATTATTATTATTACTATTATTATTTTAGAAATGTGTTCGTTCATCAATTTCTTAATATCGATCATATCAACTAACTCTGGGCACGAGATTGCTACATGATTCGATTTTGCAGCATCGTCGAACGCAAATAATTTTTTACCAGTCGGAGCACAGGAAAGCTTCTCTCGTTCGAGCACGATGATCCTGGAATAGACATAATCAGACGAAAAAGCGCAAAATATTCGGGAACAAGACTCACACACCACTTATTTGCGCGCACAAAGTGTACGACCTCATGCACATTTCTCGGATTTAGCCTTATTTTTGGAGAATGCTTTTATGCAGTAGTTATGTAATGCTGGTGAAAATCGATATTTCAACAGAAACACATGTTTTGGATTCCCCTGCTTCCGAAAAAGTGTTCTTTTTCAAAACGTCCGTCCGTGTGGTGTCTGTGAACACTACTAGCGCCTAAACCATGCGTAGGATTTTTTTCCCAATTGAAGAACATTTTCAAAATTTTCTCAAAAAAAACCCTCCAAATGCATTTTTTATTTCTTGTAAGAATAGAGTAATATATATATATAT